AACAATCTTTTGAATGAAGAATTTGCGATCTACTTCCTTGTAATGAAAAATACTAAAACTTTTTTCCAATATTTGAAACTTTAAAGTTGCCTCTTGAATATCTTTTGTTAATATAAAAGATTCATTTAACAATTCATAACTTTTTTCATCATAAAATTCAGCTAATTGATACAATGCTCTTGATTTATAATAAGGATCACACATGGATTGAATTCGTTCTAATAAAAATTCTTTTACATCTGATTTTTCTACTAATTCAGGTAGTAATTTTCTGTAAATTCCAAAACTATCATGGTCGTTTGAAGTAATTCCAAAATGTAATAATACAACTAATGGAATCAATTCTGGATTTTTATTGAAACATCCGTTCTTAAGAAAAGTTTCAGAAATGGTATCAACTAAGTACGCTATTTTTGTATTTATATTCTCTAAACAGTTAAACAATGCTATTGGTATATCATTATCATTATTTAATTTAAAAGTAAATATATCTGTTACCCATGGATACCCTCGAACTGGTCTATAAATTTGAATTGTATCACTAATTTTTAAAAATGATTTTATAATTTGATCAGGTTCACTTGACGAAATGCACTTATCACATAATACAGCAATTTGATATTGAAAATTATTAGCTGCACCAGCGATCTGAAAAGCAAAGTATTCTGCGTATAAACTATGATTATCTTCAATATTATCTACAGCTTCTGCTAATATCCTAGTGTCTATTGGTAAACCTCCACTATTAGCTAATATCGATAAATATATTCTGCAATAATGTAAAAAGTTAATGTCAAACAGTGACTGATTTGCTTTCATACGATTATAAATTTCAAATAAATATTTGGAAATATGCGAAGACCATCTTGCAATCGGATCTTTCAAAATATCGATAAGTTGTTCAATTCTGTTTCTGAAACTTTTTATGAATGTTCCTTCTTCTTGTGCTATAAGAGTATTTATGAAGTCGAAGTCACCTAAAACGATTAATGCGATGGATATTTCCACTTTTTCATTTTTACTTAACTTTTGACTGTTAATTTGTTTGCGCAAGTCTTCTGTTACTTCTGTTGTAGATTTTTTTTCTTGAAGCAGTTCGAGAATTTTATTTGTAAAAAATGATTCTTTGTAGATGTCATTTTTATCAAATAGTGGCTTTTTACTCCAACGTTCTTTGGCTGCTTTTGTGTCAAGATACACAGCCATACTATAAGCTGCATCATCTCTATCCCAAATTTCTTGATAGTAAAAAGTAAATGGTGCCCTTTCAGAAGAGCTTAACTCTAAAAATTGAGCTATTTCATAATATTCTGAAATACTTGATTGAGTTTTGTAATTCTTATAGCCTCCGTAAAGAGCTGTAATTAAAGGTAGCCAAGTCTCACTGTTAACTATAAATTTGATTAGTTCTGGATTTTTACTTATCGCGTTTTTAAATTTTAATTGAGTTAATATTGTTTCATCTGTAATTTCATTTGAATAAAATCGTAAAATTGAATCGATTGGTCAATTCCAAATTATACAATCATTGTGTAAATTCTTTAGAAATATTTCATGAAATTTTCGATTATACCATTTCATTTGATATAGAATATTAGCACAAGCGGCAACATCGTCTTCATGATTTATCTTTTTAATAAACCATTCTGCCATTGTATTATTATATTTTCTTTTCAATTTCAAGAAATAGGATTGAATCAATTCCTGATGTTGTTTTAAGCGTGAGAAACCAGACATATTTGCATAATCAGACAATAGCA